CCAGCTCCATCACGCACATGCATCCATAGAGTTTAAGTATTTTTAAATGCATTATTGATTTATTTGAACCTATACTATTAGCTATGAAAGCAACCTGAACACAGTAATTCAAACCCTTCAGGCTTTTCTGTGAAACAAAATCTCCAAGTAAAACTCCACTGAAAATTCTGATTTAATACGACTGTCCTTGTGAAATTCTGCAAAAGAGCTCACCTGGCACAACGGGGAGCTACTCCACTTGCTGCTAACAACAGAGCCAAGGAGAACATTGAGGACACAGATCAAAGCAGCCAGGTTTTTGCTGGACTTTCCCTAAAGCTGGTCAGAGAGGAGTTGTCTACCAATCTAGAAGCATTTTAGGCAAGAAGTCTGATGCTTATTTCCTGATTCATTTCTTGCACGATTGCTGGGAGCTGCCCCTTGGGTTTCCAGCTCTGAAGGGCAGAGCTCTAGCTCTTCAGCCAAGGGACTAAATCCAACAAGTGGATATGGTAACAGATGAATATGCTTTTGCAAAGCGTGGCTTCAGCATGCTTGGCTAATGCTGGAATTCATGGCTTATTTTTTGAAGGAGAGAAAACAGATTTTCAGCATTGCAGAAAAAAATTCAGTAACATGTACCTGAAGGGAAAATTTTGTTCCTTAGACAGTTAAGAACTTTGGAGATTCCCATTGCACAGTGCCCAGCTCAAAAACCCCAGGCTGATAGTGCTGATTTCAGGCAAATGAAAGAGAAGGTTACTGTTAAACTATAATTAACTTTAAAAGCTTCAGCTACAGGATACCAGTATGGTAAGGCTTGCAAACAGTAAATACTGGTATTATCTTGGCGCATGAGTCAAAATGCCAGGCACAGAGGTGTCTGTCTCTGGACAGATGAAGTATGTGTGGTCCCTGGTACAACACTTGTTTATTACATCTCAGCAGGACGTGCTGAGCTCTGCGCTGGCAGCCACTGGCTGTGTTCACCTTAAGAGGAAGATGGTGTCATTGAAAGGCTCTGACGGAGCTTTTCCGCATGCATTCGACTGGAACGTGAAGCAATGGGTAGCACGCATTTCAGGCTGAAGAAAAAGGAAAAGAGAGAAGCAGCACTCAGAATTCATATGTCTGCGGTATTTCTATCATAGTGGTTAAGATGCCATGGCCTTTTCAACTGGCTTCCTAACTCCGATGTGACAATGAAAGCCCAGAAAAAAAGGGAATCAGAGCAGCTTTACTGCCAGAGTTCACTGGCCATATTCTCTTCTGTCTAGCACCGATGTAAACGAAGGGGATTGCCAGAGTTGGCAGATCCAAGGTCTGACACAAGCACAGAGACAGGGGACTGATTTTAGTTAAAAGCATCTTCATTTCACTCCGCCCTTTTGTCTTCCTCCTCTGCTGATTGCCTTGGAGCAGCAGGGAGGGTTGCAAGCGAAATTATTCCTGAAGTGGGACTATTATCAGCTCTTCTGTCTGCCTGAGGAGGAGAGCAGCATCGGCAGCTTGCGGGGTCTGCTCCCTCACTGGGGACGACAACAAGGAGCATGGCGGAGCCCTGAGCACACACACACGCTGATGCACGGGTGCTCCCGGTATGACAGGCATTTATTCCAACCTGCTGGAGCTCACCCTGGCATCAGCAAAAACCCAGCAAGTGGTGTACGTTGGGCTCTTCTCTGAAGGTGGGCCCTTGTTCTTTCGGGCACGTAGTCACCTTGGGGGAGATTTATGTCTGCTACTGACAGCTGGAAACAATGCCGGCGATGCCAAAACACCAAACTGCGATTTAGGTTTAGGACCTGCTGGAATGATGAGGTATCTGATTCGTGGCAGTTCGCAGCCTTTTGTCCTCAAAATATTCTCTGCCAAGGAGCACTACCGAGGTGGTCCCAGTGAAATAGCCCTAACGATACCTGTGGCGTAAGCGACCCTCCAGTCCTGCCCGTCACGGCTAAACATGGCACACAGGTCAAAGCATCTACCCGGGTCTTACATGATCACATGTTTACCCAGACTTTCCTAAATTACTACTAGCATGGACTTTGTTGAGCTTGACACCAAAGGTTTGGTTGGTTTACTTTCCCAGGTTGATGCAGCCTCTCTGACAGACCTCCTCCCTCTTCTGTAAAGGTTTTTAGATAACCAATAAAATCCACTCATTCTTTTCAAGATATTTTGACAGGGAAAGTCCCAGAGGGCTTTCCTTGACATCTCTTGCACTTAGGATATTCTCAGTGATGCCAAGCAACGTGTACTTACTCAGCTCCAATGGACTTAGCCAAGACCTGCATTTGATAAGAGGCACCAGAGACTTCGAGCAATTTAAGACAGTCACATAAAATAAACAGTAAATATATATATGTGCCGGATCCAAAAAAGCACAAGTCACAGTCTATGCAGAAAAGTACCAAGGACGTGGTAATGCACTGAGCATCGTTTGCAGCAGCGAAAAAATAGCAGGGATGGGCCCAGCAAGCACCCACGCTGCCTAAGAGATTATGAAAAGTGACATGTGAGCCGAATTTGAGAAGCATATACCGTATTTAATGATACTCTATACTGATTTCCATTCTAGGGTTATAATTCAGTGTTCATTTCTCCAAGTCCTTTCTGCACCGGTACAAATAACTTGTCTTAATTCTTTCGTAAACTCCCAGTGTAGCAAATTCTCTTTCTCCTGTCTCTTGACAGGTAGTAATAAGGTTCCACATCTGAGTGGTTTCATTTAAAGGCTTCATATATATATACATACACCCTGCTATGTGTGTGTGCGTGTGTGTAATATATGCGTGCACACACACAGGGACAGCTATTTAATTTTAAGCTATTTTAAATGTTGATTTTTGTACCTGAATTCTTTGTTTCCCAAAGCCTTAACACCTTTGTTAAACCATTTAAGCCATTTGTTGGTTTTCTGTAAAATAGGGTTTAGATTTTCACCTACGTAAGTTGCGAAGACAGAAACAGTATGGATTAACTAATTTAATCAAATTTCACAAGACTCATCAATAGTACTGAGATGGAATACGGTTTCTTGGAAAAGGAGGCTTATATTTATTAAATTAAATACAGTCCAACTGCGCTCTGCTTCATTCTGAGTAAGGGAAAATGAAGTAAAATTTGGGTGGCTATCTTAATGAAGCTGCCTTGGTACATGGGTCTCAATCATCATTGAAATAATGTTGTTTATCAGGTTAATCAAGGACAAACGGCCAAGCACCAATTGTTCCTTCCAAATGGTTCACTACAATTCAAAAGGAAGGAAAAATTGTTCTAAGACCACCGGACTTAGGTACATACATTCTTTCGTCTTGCTGTGGGAGGTAATATTTGCCTTTATTACTTTCAGGGTGTGACTCCAAAAGTACCCAGCACTCATCTTGTTCCAATTCCCCTGGAGTCACCAGTAAAACTTTCATTAGCTCAAAAAGATAGTATTGATGTTCGTTGCTTTTTTAAAAGAGCTTATTACCTTGGTGTTGCAGAAGCATTTGTCTTGAAGAACTAGCAAAGGTTAAAAGAAAACCCAGATACAGAACAAAACAGAGTAACAACCAAGCCTTTTTCTTGCTGAAGTAATGACTCATAAAAGGGTACAGGCATTCCCTAACCTTCAAAGGTGTTATCAGTTCTGCTCAGAACCAATCATCACCAGTGATGAGGTTTTTTAACATGTAAACAAGAGAGCTGGCTGCATCACAACTATGTCAGGTTTCCAGCCAGAAGAGACAAGCCTCAGCTCCAGCATTAGGAGACGGAGGAGCAGTGGAGTTTGGCAGGCTCCCGGAGGAAGCCGTATCTCAAGTGGCTGCGCTCCGGTTTTGAGGGTAGCAGGTGAGATACACAAAAGCAAATTGGCCTTATATAAAATCTATTATAGCACAAAGCACTTGGTTAAAAACAAGTTGCTGCTTAGAAATTATGGGGACTCATCTAATGGTCTTTACCCAGAGTATAATTTTATTTTTTTTCTGAATTTCTAACATAAAACTGAACAACTGAAGTCGTTCCCTGGTTGCAGCGGAAGCTGAAGAGGCAATCGGTCATATAAACATCCTTGAGGGACACCTTAGGAGATGGTAAGCAATCCAGAATGTCTCTGTATCTGGAATGCTCAGAACAATACGTCTGCCGTGGTGTCACTTCTGACATCAGACATAAACTTCTTCCCAGCCTACGCCTGAATTTCATTGTCGATACATCCCGAGGGTACTGTTTAATAGCACGGTATTCATTTTGAATGCACTTTACTACATTACGGAATATTTTACCTAAACACTTAGCATCACTGTCACCACCATTCACTAGAATTCATTATTGCTGCAAGAATCATCACAATGCTACTGAAGGTGAATAACTCTAGGGAAGGGAAATTGAGAAACAGATCAAACAAATTAATCAAAGTATATAGATACTCCAAGTTTGAAACTGAGAGCATTAAAAGAGAGAGAACACATTAAAACCAGACAAATATTGGCTATATTGTGAAGAGCACCCCGTCCTCTGCAAAATCTCTTTCTTCACAGATACGCACAAGACAACAGGATAACTATTTCTTTGAGGTTTATTTCCCATCTAAAGTCAGAATATCTGTGAGCTTGTACCATAATTACTCCAGCAGCTAATTATGATGCCATAGGCAGAGCACTGTGACTCAAGGATCAGCCTGAGCAGCAGGAACAAAGGCAAAGCAAACAATAACGTCTGTGCTTCCACAGCAGCGTAGCGGCTTTAGCAATAAGGAGAAAAAAGAATATGCAGAAGAGAGAAGACAGATGAGAGAAAATTCAGAAAATGTATGATATTCACAAATACTCTCTACAGAGAAAATGTTTTTAAGATCAGACTAAGTGTTCCTACAAGCAGCGTACAAAATTTGAAGAATGAAGTGAAGAATGCAGGGAAAATTTATAAACACAGTTCTCTGTAACAGAGGATCAGGGAAAACTTGTGGTCATATTTATACTGTTTCATGCTGAATGGATGACAAGGCTAAGAATAAAAGTGGTACTTACATCCTGAGCTGCCATTCGTTGGAACCAAAGTGAAGTTGGAGGCCCACGGGTTACGCACGATATCCTGCCAATGAATGGTGTCTGCGAAGCAGAGAAATTTGTTCTGGCCAACATACACCCCTCCATTCAGTATCTCTGCATAAAAGAACAAGAGAACATACTTGTAAGACTTTAGACATACAGCTGATGAAATCTATCACTGCTTTGTGTACTGGAGAGAGGAGGCATGAAATTTAAATGCACAAAATTCTCACTGTAATCTCACTTAATACTCTGAAAACTGGAGGGCAGGTAGCTTATGCTATTTGTAAACAGGAGCCAGTTATTTATATGCAGAATGAACCTGATGAAGACAGCCACACCATTGCTAGATGAGTTACTGGGATTACCTGTTGTCCCAATGTAGTCAAGTATTGAACAGTACTGTTACTGGTGGCTAAAAGAACCTTCGAGACTCAACAGGAATGCTTAAAGCATACAATAAACTAACATGCTCTACTGGGGTAGGGATTTTCTCACCCCACAGTACAGGAGAAGATTCCAGTTATCAGGTGTTTAGAGAAGCATGTTTTCTGATCAGACTGTGCTGCTGTAATGTCATGATGCAACACACTCAAATACTCAGTATCTATGATCCAAATCTCAAATACCGTGATCCAAAACCTCCATTGACATGCCTTGCTGGAATCTTTTTGTCAAAGAGAGAGATGGTTTCTGAGCAGATGAAAATTGGTGGTGTTTGTGGTGTTTTTTTTTTTTTTTTAAACTTTCATGTTTATATCAGTTTGTTTTAAAAAAAAAGTCTTGTTGCTCTGTCTCTAAAGACTTGATTTGCCAAATTTCAACATGAAAATAATCTTACAGTTTTTGGTTGTAGCACCAGGGTTTCCTTTGAAGCAATAACTTGTTCCTTTCCCCCCTCTAAATCCTTGTTCAAATTCATTATTTCTCTACTTAACCTGGCTCTCGTGTTTCCAAAGCAGGGGACAATCCACGTGACTTTCATTAAAGTTAGCAGGAGCTATGCAGCTAAAACCTCCTGCACTGTTTAGTGTCAGAGATTCGAGCCTCAGCGAAGAAATGTTGAAGGTTAGTTACTAATGGCACCTTAGAATGACACTAAGTGGTGCTACACAGCCAGCAGTGTCACACTCCTCACAGAGACATTAAGAGTAAATCTTGATTATGGCAGTAATGAGTAAGGTCATCTGATAGTCCTCATCTCCCAGGAAAACCTTTAAAAGCTGTAGTGGGAATGCTAATGTTGACAAACAACAAGAAAGGAATTACTGCATTTTTTTTTTTTTTTTTTAAATTTCAGGGTTTACAGGCCACAGCATGTAGAGGAGGTAGCTCCCAAGAGAGAACGTATTAAATAAAGGATCATCTGTAAATACATCCTTCCACCATATTAATCAGTTCAGACTGTTACTATTTCTTAGAAACCTCTGGTTTAAAAGCTTGGCTTTTCATTGAAAAGAGGCTTAAAAATGAAAACAATAATAATAATAACCTCAGACAGAAAGGAGTCCAGATTAGAGATATCTCAACGATCTGTCTGTATGATATTCTTATGATCCCTGAAAAAACCCATACAGCATCTGTTAGCAATTCTGCTCTGGGGAAAAAGTGGGACTTAGAAGAACACCTGAAAACATGATTAGTGATGATTTCTCTGTGTTGTCCCAGCTATACAGGATTGCCTAATCCATTATGGCCCAGATTTTGATTAAAAATAACATCTACCAAGCCATGAAAAACTGTAAAATCTACATTCATAGCTTTTTAAACACTTGCACGCAATTCCAAATAGTGTCACTATCAGCTGGTACATCTGAACACCTGCCACTGGCGTAATTTCTGGGTTTTAGAGCATTCACTCATGACAATACCCATCAAATTTTCTTTTCTGCTAGGAACTTTGATGCATTCTTGTACGGCAGGCAGCACCTCACTCTAAAAGTAATTCTAATCATTTCCATTTGTGGAGAAAGACTTTTTTCAGCATAAAAGTAAGCGGAAAGTGTCCTCTCTGTACTGTAAGGACAGTTGACAGTTTTCCCTGTGATTTACTAAAACCAAACATGGAAAATGCTCCGACTTCCCTCATCACCGAACAATGAGTGTTGTTCCTGCTGCCCTTCCCCAAAAACGTGATGCAGTAGCTTTATTTGCCCCACACCGTACCATTTTTCACAGGTGATAGGATTACAGCTTACAGGTCTATTCATGTGGTGAGGTGCTAATAAACCTGAGTAATAGTATCAAAGGTGGGCTCTTACAGATATGAAACAACCCCGAGTTCAGTTTAGCACAATCTTTAAAGTACTTGTGCTTGACTCTTCCTGCTCGGTGGGATCCGTTCCCTTTCTACCTTCCCATTTCAACCTGCTCTCCTACTTTTCTTTACGCGGAGTCCTCGGCACGTGCAAATCGACACAGATGCGTTGGCTTCACTGACTGAAGCTCGAATGCATTTTGCACTTCTCTGCCCTCTCTTAGCAAGAACAATGCCTGCAAAGACCTAATAAACCCTGTTACATGTGAAGCAAATGAAGCACAAATGTAATCAATATACAACAGAGTTACAGTATAATGAACTCATCATCATAAAGTCGTCATCTCATTTTAGTTTACAGCACTGAAAGCGAGAGATAAAGTCAAACAATAAGCAGGAGGAGAAAGGCAGGCATCTCAGCCTGTGCAGACGAGCTGGCAAAGGAGGCCGGGCAAAAAGAGCCGCCTCCTCCGGTGTGCAACACCTGAGGAGCCTCTCTGCCGAATTCTCTCCGAGGCTGGAGCAGGAAAAAGAATGACAAGTCCTCCCAAATTCTTTCCGAGGCTGGAGCAGGAAAGAGAATGACAAGTCCTCTAGGGAATTTTGTGATTTCTACTGCGAAGAACGAAGCTAGTTCCTGCCAAAGAAGCACTAAAATGAACTGCTCACAGCAGAACATATTTTAAATATCATTTTGGGTATTTTTGTCTTCTACACCTATTTTTTTGTGACATTGGAAAATTGTTAGTCTGAGTACAACACGGCTGCCTGGGACAGAAGGCAGAGCACTCAGCTCTTCAACTGCTGCCTGAAATACCCGCCGTACCGCGCTGGCAGCAAACACCCTTTGACTTCTGTGCTGCTCAGGGACACAGCTACCAAAGGGGATTTTGAAGCACAAGTCCCACTGGCTTTCACTGGGAAGAGTTCCTAAAGGTGTCAGATGATTTTGGGTGTCCTCCTGTAAGGTACTGATGGGCGCACTTAGGAGTACCACAATTTCCCATTTGGGCACCAGGGGTGCAGCCGGTGCTCTGAGCAAAGGAGCAGTTCCAAGGTCTTTTGCCACTTGATTCTGAAGTGAATGCAAAATCTTATCTTCCTTATTAGAGCTGCTTTACTGGCTTAAAAGCAGCATAATTCTGTAACCAAAGTTAGATGAAAATAAATCAGAAAGTGCACTCACCACTGACTTCTGTCATTATTTTGCTTATTGCTGCCAAATGATTGTGGTAACTTATATCTGCATATTATTAAAATCCTATTAAATGGTTATTTATTCAGGAAGTTAAATCAGAAATGTATTATCCATTATATCTGCTATTCTCTTGCTTCCATTAGCACAGTGACGAAGCAGAACCATTACCACATAACTTTGGTAACCTACCACACAACACTTAAAATATTAACAAGAGAAATGGAAACGTAGAGGTCTCTGGCAGCCACGAAACAGAAGTATCTCATGCTTCCCAGAAAGTGCCAAGGGACACAGATAGGTACATCAGACACAATTTGTACTTAGTCTGCTGAGTTCAAAAAGGGGATAAATTTATAACATCTATTCCAAGAGAATGAGTTTAACTGGAGCCAGAGAAAATGTGATACCAGCCACCAGAAGCTTGAGATCACTACTAATAACACAAAGGGACACGAGTCGTACAAGTGTGCTGTCTGTTTAGACCAGAGATGGAAAGAACTCTTCTTCATCCATCTGTTAAAAGGGCATATTTCTTCAGCTGACTTCTTCTTGTGTACAGTGTAATCCCACACGGTCTGTTATCTAATTTCTAATGTGGATTAAACTGGCAAACCATGTTCACACTTCGCAACGTATCCTGAAGCGCAAGTAACTCGTGTGTGTTGGTATGCAGTGAGGGCTGTAGGCACCTATTTAGCAATAGAATCTGATTTGAAAATTGTTATAAAGTTGGTTATAAAATTGTTACTGGTATTCAAGGCTGCAAATTAAAAGCTCCTCTCTGGTGCTACGCAGCCGGCTGCCACAATGAAATGGAAGAAGGCATAGTGAGATGGAAAAGAGCTAACTTTAAAGTGGGCAGAGAAAGGGGAAGGAGTTAATTAGGAAAAACTGTTGGGCACATCCACTGTACCAACCTCAAAAGCAAAACAGAAGGTATCTTACCCCTTCCAAGCTGCCTGTCTGCTCAGGAAACAGCTGCCTTTTACACCACACCATATACAGGTGTGTACTCTGCACGTACATCTTACATTAACGCATGTTGATGATACCTTAATTTCCAATGTCAGCCCTTCATTAGAGCTCAAGCATTTTTGCATGCCCACATCTTCATCTTCGCCACCATCATCCAGCTGATGGGGATCTGTTGTCAGATACTGTATCACTCTCAAAACACTGTCTCATTTCACCTAAAATGCTGAATGCATTATTCGAAAATGGCTTTGGCCTGGAAATTTCATGCCAAACCAAGTCTTTTGATCTCTTAGCACAGTTGATTGCTGATGACCCACTGGGAAAGCACTTCAGGTCCATCATTAATAAGCGATGTCTTAAAGGGTAATGAGAACTGGGTGCTTTAGGAGACAATAGCTCATCCATCATCAATCAAGATCTGAAGTTTTTATACAGATGATTTAAGAAGAGTTGGACTGTATAAAATTGAAATGTCACATTTGTATTGGGAGATGGGGGGAGCTTGGTAATGAAAATGAGAGTTTTAACCTTCTCCATTTCAGCTCAATGACCATACTCAAAAGCTCATGGATGTGGAATCTGTGTACCAGCTAGGAGCCCCAGACAGCCTTCGATCTCAATTACACAATTTCGAGTAAAGATTATTTGGGTCATTAGCTGGAAGTCAGTTTCAAGGCCTGATGG